AACATCGCTAGAAAAAGAAAAATCTTTGTCATGAACAGAGATTTATTATTCCCTTGTAATGAGAATTTAATTGCAAATTCCTCCAACACAGTTCATGGCTTCAGTACAGGTCTCCTTTTTAATGTCATGTCTGTTATGTTACCTCACATCTCAATATTGTAGAGCACCTAATCATGTAGTGTATCTTCTTTAAGACAGGCACTTGATTTCTGTCTTTGACATAAAACATACAAAGTATGTGTTACCCTGTTATTCGTGAGTGCTCCATAAGACCAGTGAGACTGGCTCAGAAGCCATGTGAAATTTCAATGTGAATGAGGAACAAAAGATGAGCAGATTGATCAGATGTTCCTTTATTCTTTACTATTCTTATGGATACTATATGCTAGCGGTCTTCGTCACTGAGTCAAATGTGAAAGTAACCATGTGAATTATATGAAACTTCAGCTGCAAAACAGGGACCTTTGTTTCTTCCCATTGCTGCTTTTTCTCCCCTGTTTTTGCATACAGTACAATCAGAACAACTATCTCTCTGCATAATAAATCTACAGGATGCAAAAGCAGTGAACTTAATTCATTTGCATGTCAAGTTTTCAAACTTTCTATAAATTAAGAAGTGAAGTAGAGGTTCTGTACTTACCTGCACATATAGCAACAGCAATGTAAGCAATGGTTGTGATCACAATGGCCAGCATTGTTCCTTTGGGTATTGCAATTTGGGGATCCTTAAGAAAAGAAATTACCCAGAAAACACCGAGTTTGTGTGCTGCAGTCTGATTGCATTTGCATGCTAGGTAGTCCTACCAAACTGTGAGGTGATGACACCTTCAGAGGGTAGATTTTTATCACTAAAACCTGCACCAACATTTCCTGTCCCAGCATGTAGATGGCAAACCAGTCTTGTGGAGCAGTGCTCCTATCCTGGACACAGTGAAGGATAATCTGGAGGAGCAAAGGTCATGTTTATAGCAGCAGGAGAGTCCTGAGCTCTGCATTTCTGGGAGATCCAAACTCTCTTTACATTGCAGTGGGCTTTATTTGAATGTTTAATGATATAATGGGTAAACAGATGCTGAACTAACTATCAGACTTCTGTGGTTGACAAGACAGGACCATTTTTGGCTATTTGGCAAGATAGATGCAGTCACCCTGTACAGAATATAGTAACAGGCTACTTCCTTTCACTGTTTTTACTTTTAAATTAGGTAATTTAATAAGGTTGGGCTATAATGCCTGCAGTCTGGCTCACAGCAGTATCGGCTTCAATCATGCAACTGAAAGAGTTAAAAAATCTGCATTATACCTTGTAATTTTAAAGGGGATTTTAATAGTAGCCTACCTATACATTTTAGTGTGTGTTTGTTAATGCTAGGAAGCACTTTTTATGAATCGTCTTCTTAAGCTGGTTTAGTGAGGTTTTTTGAGTCAAAGATGTGTGGAATGCATTTTAAGCCACAGACTTTTGTACCTTTTTAACTATGCTTTTTGCATGGGGGAAAAAACCAACAAACTCCAGGCAAATTCAGAGTGTTGTGTGAAACATGGATGAATGACTTAACTGTGTTAATAATTAATATAATTTTTAAATGATACAAGAATTTATTGAGCTGGAAAATACTTGCAAAGTCATTTCAGCTGCATAAGACCTTTTGCCCTTAGATCGTGGTAGCTTCAATTTATACAGTTCAGGTGTGCATGTCTTAGGTCATTGTTTTTGTGGAGTCTCATGCTGCAATCTTAAACACTGTAACAGTAAATCTTAGGGCTAAAGCTCCCTACAGCTTTACAACTTCTAAATTTTATCAATAATTAAACACATTTTTACTGTGCTACTTCTCCAAAACTCACTGAGGTCACCAGGAAGACTAGCTGGTGCTGGAGCTAGGCTTTGTACTGTGCCACTACTTGAATGTGTAGCAGCTTCAGAAGCATGGACATAGGTGTTGACAACAAATTCTAAAGAAAGTTTGAATGGTCAGTTTTACATTTTTAAATACTTCTTAGTTTGTCTTTTAGGTTTCTGGAGAGGCTGCTTAATTTCATTAGACCTGTCTAATGTGTCTAAACATGCTCAGTGGGGAATCTGCAGCCTGGAGGACTTCGTTGTAGAAATCCACCTATTGCCAGACTGAAACAACTCCAGAGAACTAGTGGGAGAACTGCTGCCCTTCGTCTGCTTAGTCTCTTTGAAAGAGCTTACGGAGGAATGTTGCTGCTTTGGGACCTTGCTATGTATAGAGAGCACCATATATGGCAAAAGAGTTATTTGTGCTTGTTAAAAGGATGGAGATTGTGTGAGGCTGATTCAGTCTCAGTGGAGAGGAGTACAATGGGTTTTGTTTTTTTTAATTAAAAATTGAATCTCATAAATGCTATTGGTGTCTCAGTTTCTACATATTTATCTCTGTTTGGCTTCAAAAGCAGTCCTCAGAGAGCAAAGATGAGGCCTGCAGCTCTGGGAAGAGGGGAAGCAGAGCTGGTTGCCAGGGTTCATAGGATCTGGTGAACTTATGACTACTGTGCCAGTACAGAAACAGCAAACCTTTGGTTGAATCCTTAAGGTGTAGAAGACAAGGGGTCTATATGATGAAGCTAAATAAGTTCATTTGACATGCTGGGGTCATCAAGGTTCGAGATACATCTTTTTAGTTACTACTTTATATATATATATATAAAAATAAATATATTTTATATATATATATATAATTGGGGAGGGGGGAGGGTCTAGGGGCTTTTTGGTTGGTTGTTTTTTGGTGATGGTGGTTTTTAGTATTTGACTGCAAGACTTGAATCATGGAAACCTATTGCATTTCTGAATGTCTTGTAATATTACCAAGTATTGCATTGCTCCACATTTACTAGAGAGGTTTTACCAAATGCTTTGCCAAACTTTGAATTACTTCAGCTTTGCATTTAGCTTTAAATCCTCTTTTTTTAAATAGTCATGAAAACTAGAGGGCACTAAAAGTTAAAAGTAAATTCCTGTCTCTAATTTACCAGTCTGTTTAGATACTGGAAATACTATCTCATACAAATGTTATACTGCAAGAGGAGAGCAGGGACCTGACAGAACGGCTGCAGCCAGGCAATGGGGTGCCCTTGGACCTTCTTTCCCTTTCTCTTCAGGCTCTTTTGTCACAGCTGTGAACCTGCAGCTTTTCCTTTGAGTAGCAGTAGTGACATGGGATTGGGACATACATGCTTTCATTAAATGCTCTCTGTTCTGCCCTTGCTATGACCCTGAATAGAAAAAGCCAGTCTCCACTGATACTTGTGAGTACAAACATGAACTTTACAGGTATGCTTTTTGGGATGAGGTTTTAGGAGATTTTGCAAAAAAGCACCAAGAGATACACATATAATTTCTCCTATGTCATGTGCTGCTAATGGATCGTTAATGCTATCTTAATACAGGTTATTGAAATATGCTTTTAAATTATATAGCAACCTGAATCTAAATGAAGTAATTTGTGTAAATAGCCATAAGGTATTACGAAAGAAAATGTGAACTGATGTTTTAAAATAATAAAGCAGGTACTTAAAAGTGAGAGTTTTGCTTACCAAAATATTACATAATTTTAAACGGAATACAGTGTTGATTCGTTATCTGTTTTCTTATTCTTTTTGCAGCCTGAAACTAGTATTATGAAGTTAATAAAATACGTACTTTCAGATCCCCTGAGATGTTGGCTCCTGCAAGAATGCCAGTGGCAGCTGGGAAGAAAATGGCAAACACCGAGAAAAATCCTTCCCCACTTCTGAAATCTGGTCCAAAGTTTTCTGCAAATATTGAGGCTGAAAATAGAGGTGAAAATGAAAAATACCATTGGGATTTGATTCTGCTGTTGCTTAATGAAGGAGGTGAATAAGTTAGTCTTTCACATCTGGACAACTGGGTTTGAATCTGTCTCTTATGATAAGCAAAGTGAATTTGATTTCCTTGGTCTGGTCCCCAGTAGGATGTGCTTGTCTGCATCTCAGAGCTACAGATCCATATTGAAGTGACAAGAGTGCCACTGCAGCACTTGCACTTAGCTTTGTGTAAAAGTTTGTCTGTGCTCTGCTGATACATAAATGACTGAAACTGCAGCTAACAGTGCTGTCAGCTTCAGCAGCAGAGAGGCAGACTCAAAATTAAAGATGAAATAAACTCCTCTGATTTGCAAGCTTGTGTAAACTTGGGCAGAAGATCCTGATCATCTGACCTGTTTCAGTGGAATCCTTAATTCAGTATGGAGCTAAAAAGAATGCAAATTATCATTTTATGATAGATAGTAAAGTTACTTGCCTTGGTAATTAAAAAAGCCTCTTGCCTTCTTTTCAGTGTTTGTAGGAATGACTGTCCCAATAAAGAAGTTTGCAATGGCAATAAGGAGGACAATTAGAAGAATAACTTGAGCCTATTAATAGAAACAAAATATTTTCTTGATTATTTTGTTTTGCATTGACTGTGAAGATGACTAAATAGTAAATTATCTGTATGTGTTTCCTATGCCAGATATCCAGAATCAAGATATCTGAATCAGTTAAACAACAGCAGATAGTTTTTACTAAGGCCGTTGTGAAATGCATAGTTATAATTTAATTGTATGTCTCTTTCTTTACAAGAAAAGACAAAATGAAAGAGCTAATTCCATAATATCAGGTTTAAAACATTTTTATATTGTTATAAAATTTGGTTGCAGTGGGTTGTCACTTCAAGGTTTATAATATCTAATTGGTTTTCTGATCTCTCTTAGAAGTAGTTGCATTCCAGTCTATTTTCATTTGAATTTCTGTTTTGAACTTTTTTTTTTACAGGTGAAGGAATATCAGAAACCATTAGAGATTAATGTATAGCAAATGTATAGCAGATAGAGCTCTTCTGCTGACTAGGGCTCAAGAGAGTACATTGATAAAAACATATTATTTTTACTAGTGTTTGCTGTGTCAAGCTGCATCAAAAATAAGGGCAAAAGAGGATCTTACCCAAGGCTTTAAATGATGCCATGAATTATATTAATCCATATGATCAAGCTGTCTGCAGAACACAAACCTTCCCTTCCCTTTTAAGTTATGCTCAAGGAAGAGCATGGAGTAATTGTGTTTTCATTGAATCTAGTTATGAAATTGCTGTTGCTTTTAGAAGGATGAAACATAGTCTGAAATAAGTGCTTTTGAAAATTCTACCTATTGTATAGCATTCCTCACACACAAATGCTCTACAGTACTCTAATATACTGCTTGCTTTTATGTTCTTTTAAAGGTTTACCTTTGCTTCCCATTCCATGCCAGCAACAGAGATGCCAAGAAGACATACAACAGTTATTGTGCCTATTATCCTGATGTCGTTGGACTCATCGACCATCAGTGTATCACTCTCCTGAAAGCAGTAAGAAATGTTATTAGAAGCAGTCTTTCTCTGTCCAAATGGTGGGCTCAGGTAACGAGGCGAAATAGAAAGCAGTGAGCTGTCAAAGTTTGAGATTTGTGAGACCAAGTGTTTGTGGATCTTGTTCCAGCTGGCTCTTTGTAGTTGGGTTATTTGGCTGTCTAATTAAATGTCTGTTCCTTTTCTGATGTTTAAATTCTTGACAAATTAATGAAATACATTAATAAGGTAGAAGTAATGGATGATCACTCTATGGCACATTTAAACAGACAAGCTTCTTGCTAAAATGTCCCTCAAGCCTCAGCTAAAATGTATCACCACTTAAAAAATATATATAAAACAAACAATCCAAACCAACCAATCAAAAATACAAATAAAGCGCTACAAAACACAGAAACCCAAACCAACTTAATTATATACATGAAATATCTACACTTACCTTGAGAAGTTCTACAACTGTTTCAGCAAATCCAACTACATACATAGCAACTGCGACTGCGTTTGCAAAAGCGAAAATAAGTCCTATAGATCCACCAAACTCTGGGCCTAGACTTCTTGAGATAAGATAGTATGCTCCACCTGCAGACAGAAATTATTTCAGCACAAGTAAATGGTCAGGTTTTGCTCATTTTTCTCACATAAATAATACTACAGGAATTTCTGCTTTCTTCTTTAGCCTAGCATCTATAGCAAATATTTGTCCTATATTAATAGGGGACACTGATTTAAAAAAAAAATGTGCTTTGTACTGACTCTGCTTTCAGGCTTTCCTGTATGCCTTTCTGTTGCAGAAATCTTTTTAGTGCATGTTAGCATGGCAAACTGGACCTTCACATAATTGTTCATGATACGTAATATAGTAACAGAGCAGAGAGAACCTCCCTTCCAGGCAGGTTCAAACTTACTTGGATCTATCCCAATGTTAACATGAAAAATGATATTCTGTGGTACATTGTTAAAGCTCCTGCAAAGTGACGCAGTGAATCTTTAATCTTTTTTTTTTTTTTGCTTGTCACTGTAAATGGAACATGTCACTTTGTCAGTTAATTATTTCATCTCGCTGGCATTTAATATTTGTCAGGAAGTGTTTAAGATTACATACATTTTAACTTACTGTTCATCCATTGAGAGAGTTCCCTCCAATATATTTATTATTGCTTTGCTTATAGCACAGTTCTCGCAATTCTATTTTTATAATATAAATCTTCATGAGATCAGACGCACTTACCTCCTCTTACTACTCCATTAGTGCAAATGGCAGACATGGAGATACCTGTTAATGTTGTTACTACTACACTCAGACCAATTACTATGATTCCAAGACCTGAAAGATCCGAAAAAGAAAGCATATTCAAGTGTATTCAAATACCTGTTTTGCTTCAATGATGTAGTAAGAACCTGCCATTTTCCACAGAGGTTAGAGCAGACCAGTTATCACTTTAAAGTTCTGAAATGTACTAAAACTTTAAGGCACAAAATACCTGTCATGCACTTTTCCAGCAAAATTATTTACTGATCTTCCAAGGAGCGGCTGAAATGTAAGGAGTTTTATAGAGAAGGTATTAAATTGGAGATATCCACTGATCTGTGTCAGTCTTTAAAACAAGAAGAGATGCCTTAGTCTGTCCAAGGATGTCCAACCTGGAATGCTCTGAATAAGAAAGACATGCTGGTAACAGAAGAGCTCCATGAAAAGCCAGAAGTCATCCCTCACTCAGCAGCAGGCAGGAACATCTGAAATGTACTTCACATACTGAACTGAAATCTGGTATTTATTAGAAGTGACAACTCAAATGTGCCATAAGTTGTGATTACAGGTGTCTAGAATTGTTACCTTGAAGTTCCTTTAGATGTACCATTTGGCTTATCTGTCCCTCTGGGGGGATTTCGTATTTGCCTCATATGAAAATAATACATAAAGACCCTTTTGGGCTGGAAGCATTAGTAACCCTAAAATTTTTACCTCCACGAACAAACCCATTAGTTGCTATTGCAGATGTTGACAACCCAGTAATTGAAGTTACCATCGTGGCGAGAAGAATTATGATTACTCCAAGACCTGTCAGTAATAAAAAGATAAAGTATTTGACTCATGTTCCATGATTCCTACAAATCATTCTCTCTTTAAATTGAATTTTCTGACCAGAATCAGAGCAATAAACTGAAAAGATGGTTTGTTGGCCACTTGCAGTTTTCAGAACACTTCCAAGGAGTACATATCACAGTAGTAAATTATTCCCATGGGTCTTCAAGCAGTGACTCTTTCTGATAGAAATCACCTCGCCAGAAGTTCTTATGACTTTCAAAGACTGGAGGAAATGAGCAAACAAGTGTCCTTGGCATGGGTGCTTAGATTTCCCCTTAAGATACATCCTGGCTCTTTTTAGCAAAGAGATTGACACATAAACCAAAGCATATGTAAGAGTACTGCTGTCTTTCATCAGTTAATTAAACCTTGAATCTTAGAAAGACTGACTATATACTATCATAGTGCACCAGAAAAAAGTCTATCAGGCAGAGAGACAAGACCCAAATGTGAACCTTCTATATCCTTACTTGTTAAGCTACCAAGTGCTGTGCTTTCCCACTCTCTCATCTAGAATTTTTACTCTTAACATGAGACAAACATTTGAAAATTGAAATAGTGCCTTTTAGATGCCATTTATTTAATGGGTGATCTGTAATATATGATTGTAGAGAATATAGAATACTCTTTAGCAGATAGCACTAAATTGTCTAATTCAATAGAAATAATCAAATATCTGATTATCAGTAACATGTGATTAGTTACAGGTGAACTGGGTTTCAGTTTGAGTAAGACTCTGAAATCTGTTTCCAGTCTTTGACTATTTGATCAGTTTTCTATTAATGTTGTGAAACTGTGCTAGAAACTATATGAGTAGGAGGAGCCCAATATGGTTTAGAATCATAGACATATTGGTTGGGAGTGACTTCTGAAGGTCTCTAGCTCAGCCTCCCAGTCATAGCAGAACTAATGCCAACTCAGGATTAAATCAGTGACAGATTTGGCTAGCTGGGTCTTGAAAAACCTCCATGGACAAAGATCCCACAGCCTCTTTGGATTACATGTTCCAGGGCTAGACTGCCTGCTCAGTGAAAAAGTTTTTCTTTGTGTGCAAACTGGACCTTCCAAGCTGTGATTGCAGCCATTGCTTCTATTCTGTTTTCTGGCAGTACCAAAAAGAGTTTGGCTCTGTAGTTCTAGAATACTTTCATGTTTGAAATCAGGAGAAGAAATAATACAACATTTTTCTCTCAACTATTGCTTCTATTCTCATTTGTATCTGTGAGAGGAGAGGAAAAATACTAGGGGGGAAAAACAAGGAAGAAACAATTACAGTTTGGTGCCAAATGTGAAATCAGTTCTTAGTTTTATCTGAACTTGCTAATGCTTATGCAGTAGCTCTTATTTCCATAAGGTATGTAGGTCTTCAGTGTGGAACTGAAGATTATACATTGCTTGTAGCAATACTTGCTAACCAGGGTTCATATAAATTGAAACTAGAACTGACATCCAGCCAAAAGTTGGATTGATTTATCAGCTGTATTTGTACCTTCTGGCTTCCACATCAGATTCTTGACTTCAGTTCGTACTGGATGGTTACAGACAGCCAATCCCTGAATGAATGTTCTTTGCTGCTTAAGTTATAGCCACATTATCACAGTCCTTTAAGACAGACCAATATAATGTGTGTTAAGTAAGTGATACATAACATAGAGTAGGATATTTGAAGTTATTTGAGTCTTTAATAAATCATGTTTATCCTATTCATTTCTGAACTCTTCCTGTAACTAGTCATGCACCTATTTTGTATGCAGGTGTGTATGAAAAAAACCCTCCAAATGGTCATTCCTTTTGGTCAACTACCATAATATAGAAGGATGTGATTAAACCACACAACTTTTGTTCCTGGGAAGTGGCTGAATATGACTTTTAATCAGCTATTAACTCTTAAATTGAATGTGAGGCAAGTTATTATTAAAGTTTTAAAAATATTTGGCAAGTACATGTGCATTCTAAAGAGTATTTTTCCAGTATTTCTTACTGCATTTCACAATTAATATTGTTAACATATATATGATAAATAAGGTCAGATCTTTTGCTAATTTGATGAGTAATATCTGCTTGGGAAGGCTTTAGTGTTACTTTTAAAAAACATTTTAACATTTAAGAAGGCAAGTGCATAAAATAAACTGACTCAGTCAAAATACCAGTATAATATAAGATAATGTAACATAATTGTAATATTTGGGGCCAGATTTTCAGTTAACATAAACTAGGTGGTTTTCCTTGCCTTTGGCTAACCATTCCATGTGTAGGTTCAATTACAGACTTTGGTGAGTCCCCAGATGTTAGGTTGAAATACCAGTCTAGTTTTGGACCTGGAATCTTGTCAAGACCATACTGTCCCTTTTTTCCTCACCTGATGATAAACAGAGAAACTTGTTGGAAAGTTATTTTTCTTCCCCCTATAAGAGCTTTTGCCCAAGATAGCTTATCAGGATATGGAAATGATTGGATTTTCTCTCTTTGGCCCTCTAATGATGAGGATATAAATGGTGCCCAGATGGTGGCTTAACGCACTCATTTAATTTCCATGTTAGTAGCAGTACCCAGTGAAACCCCTGAGCCTTGGTGATGATGAGCTTCCATCACTGTTCTCCTTAAGCAGCTTGGCTGGGGACTTAAAGCTCATTGCTTATAAGACATTCAGAAAACGCATTGAGAAATTATTCAAAAGGAATTTGATGTCTCATTTTCAGAAGTAAAACTAACCTTCTTACATATGGCATGCAATATTAAAAAGCAACAGCAGAGCAATAAACTATGAGAAAGGAGAGCCTGCTTATCAATGAATTAAAATGGTAAAATTAAATATGAAAGAAGAAAGGCTGTAACTGATGTTGGTGCAAATTAATGTTAAAATCTGATTAAAGTTGAGATTGAAAACCAGGCATATGGCTGCTAAGTAAGTTGTTCTAAAATGAATTGCTCTTGCCTGTGGCTATTCTCACACCTCAAAACAAAGTAATACTTCTTGATGATCTCAATAAGTTACTAAACTGCCCTTAAAAACTAATTTCGCATGAAACCCCAGAGCAAAGTCTTGGCAATATTAAGATGCAGAATTTTCATGGCAAGGCATATACTTACGAGTGCCCTGGGCTGTACACTCTCATTTGCTATGCATCATAAAATCAGCAAGCACCCCTTTGTCAGGCCCAGTGCTGGAGCCACACACAGAGCTCTGCAAAAGCAGCTCCAGTCCTTCCGCCTCATTCTAGAACTTATATTCTTTGGTTGTTTTTTTGGTTTTTTGTTTGATTTTGTGTGGTTTTTTTCCCTACTTGTATCTCTTAAGTTTGTGACTAGATTTTTTTTTTCCTAATAAGCATTTAATGTTATCTTTTAAAAACAATGAGCTCAGCCTCTGTGATGTTACTGTATTTTGTTGGAAATGAGACTTCAATCATGCAAAATTTTGGATATTATTCCACTCAGTGTTTCATTTATCTTCCATTAACAGGGCAGTGAATGGTGTTTATATTCAATCTGAGTTTGAGTGCTAAGTTTTATCCAAGACCAGGAGAACTGATGCCCTGAGGCCAGGGTTTGGACTCTAGTTTGTGTCTACCTAGTATTTCCATGCTGTGAGAACCCAAACTGGAACACTTGCTATCTACCCTTTAGACTGCTGGTTTTTACAACATCTGGGTGCCAGACAAAGATTAGGGCCCCATTATTCTAGGCAGTATGATCACCTAACCCAGAGTGACACTGCCAGTGCAGCTCATGTTTCTGTGCTTCTCCAGAGCAGCAGCTCCAAAAGGAAGTTGTACCACAGAGGAACTACTAATACATTACACCTCCTTGAGCTGCTGCTGGTTGCTGGAGACTTCCAGTGGTGTGAGCTCTTTTACACGCTCCCTGTTTTCACTGAACAGTCAACAACATGTTGGATATAGGCCTTGGGGCCCAGACTCACAGGGACTGGGATCTGGGATCTGGATTAATTAAACTGCATAATGAAGAAGCAAAGATACGGCACATAATGAAGTGTGCTTAGTTAATTTATAAGAAAGCTGAAGCTGAGTTTTTAAAATTTGGTGTTTTATGATATGCAGATATTCAGTGCTGTGCTATAGTTAAAAATAGCAAAGTCTTGATGAAGTGAGACCCCCTTCCAGTTCTGTTTTCATCTCTGCAGAGAAGTGTGAAGAAGCATTGTTTTTAATATGTGGATGACAAGGTTTGGGATTCACAGATAAGCAAAGTGTGAACTCTTAAAAGTTAACTCTATATGCACATATTAGAAATTGGGCCGAGTCATAAAGTTTACATCTGTTACAGGATCTAAATACAAATTTCACCAAAGCATAGAAATACTCAAATGTGATGATTATATGCATAGTTAACAGATCTGTGCCTTGAAGCAGTAATTTGGCTGTGAGTCTGGAAAATTCCAATAGTTTGGAGGATTAACATTTTTTTTACCCTGGCAAGCATTTGAAATCATTATTTAGTTCAGCATGCAAATGCACATCTCAGATTATATATTAATCGTGATCATGTATAGATTATCCTCTTTATCCTTTTCAATGTTGAAAATGATATTAAAAAAGATACATACCTATTCCTGCTTGACCTATAATCCACGAAAGTCGAATAAAAAGCATCACACCCCAGATATTAAGCATACATCTTACCTAGGTTTTAAACAAAAAAATACTGCATTAGTGCAACACTCATAGTAGTGTTAACAACCAGAAAGGTGGTGATAATGTGCATTGGAGTCTTTTATTTTTTAAAAGGCTTTAGTGTTGCAAACCTCATCATAGTTTATTTTTCTATTTATTTATTTATTAGAAATGTAGATGTGTTTCTCACCAGCACACCCTTCACCCATCCAAACTTGACAAATCCTGTTTTATTCTCTTCTTCCTTGCTGACCGCGGTCTCGTCTCCAGCCGTGCTTTCTCCATTAGCCACTCTCTCGACCGAGCCAGTGCTCACAGCTATGTTCTGAGGGATCACACAGAAAACAAATATTTGTGACACCCAGAGGACATCTGGATGCATAGGAGAGACATGGAATAAAGCAATCCCAAGAAGATCAGGTTTTGCTGTCTCTGGAGCTGAATGCAATATTCTGCTCACATCAGCAGGTGGGCTTGCTCACAGGAGAAAAGATGAAAGAATTGCTCAAGCAGACTAAAGACATTATTTTCTGGTACTAAATTGTATTTATTGTAAACTGTATTCATACATGTTGTGTTGCTATGTTAGTAGAGTATCTAACACAATGAGGCTCTCGTGGTTGGCCTCTATATGCTGCTGCAACAATTTCTGAATAGTGTTCGGTGTAGAAACAGGGATAATTGCTCAGTAGTGAAAAGAGGCCTAGCTGGAGTGCTGCATGGCAAAGTTGTGTGATCAACTCTGGTGTTTTCTGTACAAGTACAGAAAGTACAAACAATCACAGCAGCAAATGGGTAACATTTTCGTGAAAACAGTCAGAGAAATACCAGTGAAATATAGTAAATAAATGTAGTAAATGAATAATCCTTTCTGTGGTTTAGCTACCACATAACCATAGTAGATAGGATTAGGAATTGCCATATTTGTGATGCCTCCAGAATTTTTAGCTTGTTTACATCCAGTTACAGACTATAATCTGTATTTTATCTTTTCAGCTCTTCTGCTCCAGAATCTCTGAGGCAATTTAGCATTGTAATATATTTCCTGTGGTTTGAATAGAAATTAGTCACAATACTGAGGTTTGTACTCATTATTGCTGTTTTGTTTCTTTTAGTTTATAATTTATCATTTTAATACAAAGTTGTGACTGGTTTTACAGGGAGTTGGCATTAGGTTAACTATTTGCCAGGTATTGACTAGGTCTTTTGCAAAGACCTTCAGGAAGGACCATAGTCTGGCAGAGGGCCGGGTGTCACTTCTGGAGAGGAATAAACATGCTTTTAGCATTTGAAGGGGGACGAAGATATTTCCAGATCAACTAAACAGGTCAAGGAGGGGAAACATCTATGATTCTGTGTAACATGTGAAGCTTACTCATCTTGCTTAAGCTTCAAGGCTGTTTCTGTTTAGATAATTAATTTGATAATAGATAATTTTGACAATTCTTACCCCACAATAATGATGGAAGTGTTTACTTAAAATACAGTAAATAAAGTGAACTAAGGAAGATCATCAGAATAATTCAAGGGTTTTTTTTGCTACAGTGGTTACAATTTCAAAGACAAAAAATGTAAAAGGGTTCAGTCTTTGTACTCGAAACAAGTTGTCCCCTATGTACTTTGAATTAATTTGTGCTCCCTATGCCATTATTGTAAATTATGGCCTTAAACCTTCCATAAATGCATTTTAAATTGGTGTGCTTTAGTGAATGATTGGTTATTTACCAAGCAGTTGTACTTGTGCTACTCATGCATTAAGGATGTGGAATAAAACTGACAGAACACTTTTAAAAGGTACCAACATAAAAAGTTGCTTGCTTTAAAAACAAAACAAACAACCAGCATTTTCCTTTCCTTGTTTCAAAACAGTTTAGCCTTTATCTCTCCAGGGCATAAAGATGATGAGCTCATCAAGTTTCTATAACAAGTGTGGAGAATAGCCAAAATGAAGAAAGGTGAGATGATTTCTTATGTAGGGTAAATATTAAGCCCAAGTAATTATCACCAGCTATCAGCTGTGAAATAGCACTTGGGCTATTTTTTGGGGATTTAATTGGTGTTTTATGGCTTAATGTGTGCAAAAACTGACACATGTTAAAAGATGACACGCATTTGATTCCAGCAGTGTGAGAACTAGTTATTTGAAGTTCCTTTCAGCTTGCCTTACATTCTGACATTTGGAAAATTACAATTTAAAAAAAGTTTATTAAATTATTTATATTTATCTTCTGATGTTAAGCCCAGCATCAGAGCACAATGGGAATGCTTATGTGTTGTGTAGAAATCTGAAGTCAAACATATTTCACTTCCTATTGGATACTGGCAGTGGGCTCTGACAGGACAGTTGTCTTCAACAATTTGAGTTTCAAAAAGCTGGGGGCCAGAGGGGTGGGATTGCCTTGGGGTATCATGTGGTAAGCTCAGATTTTAGTGTTAAGAAAGGAATAAAGTATCTTCTCCAGAACTGCATCTTGAACTATTAGTCTAACTCCTGTACACACTCAATGTACACTTCATCCCTTCTCTAGTGGTGGCTACAGAGCCTGGTGCACACTGGGGCTGCTGGAGAGGCACCCCATCCAGCTCCACATCCTGCTTTTGCTTACTGGTAGGAGTTCAGCCTTTTCATACCATCTTAATTCCCTTTCCTACTAACCTATGATTTTGTGACCTTGTGTTTGTTTATTCTTCAGAATAAGCTCTGTGGACTGAAGTGATTTGTCCAAGGTCACCAAGTGAGTCCATGGGACAGCCAGGAATAACTCCAGCCATGCTAATGGCGGGTCATTTGTTCCAGTGCTGTGGTTAGTGGCTCCCAGAGCAGGGCTGCAACTCACATAAGGGCACAGCAGATGCCAGTGTAACAAAAATCCCATTACCTCTGACATTCACCTTCCTGTTTTGAGAGGCATAAGATTATCCTTCTGTAAACTGGATACTGGAAAAACTCTGTGAACAACTAAGAGAAATTATGCTTTTTTCTCTAATAGTCCCAACCTGTGAAGCCATTTTCCCCTCATTTTATTCTGTGATAGAATCTGCCTTCTTTTTAATCTTGTCTAAGTGAGAGCCTTAAAAAACCCTAAACAGTTTTATCTAATTTTGTTTAAAATAAGCCACAGAGCAATGCAACTGCAGAAAATCAGGTAAGAATCAAAACTGAAAATCCCTTAGGATACTAATATTCAGTACATGTTATTTCAGCATTATGTTCAAAACAACACACTATTTTTTTCTTCTCTGGCCACTACTGAATTAAGAGGAAGTTTCCTCTGTGTATAGAAATGCCCTGAGTACCAGCTTGCACATTGGCAGATGAGTAGGGATACCAAATTCATGTTCTTCCATTTTCACATCCACTTTGCATTAATTTTGGAAATAAATGGTGACCCAGGGAACCTGTTTCTCCTTTCTATGTAAGTCATTTTATGCAGGTCTGTGGAGACATTAATTTAAATGAGTCAGGCCACAACTATGAAGCTGTCCTAATAGGATCCTAGAAATCAGGTCCTAATTTCCTAATGGCTTTTTTTTTTACTTTATTTCATTACTTTGTATTAATTATCCTTAGGACAGGTGATTCTCAGAGAACTGGAGTTTGAACAAGATGTAGACCAGCATCAAAAAAATCAGATGCTTGTCCAAATTATTCAGACCTCAAAAGTATGTAAAAGTGAGTGGAACGGTGATGAGAGCATGTTTTCTCTGGAGATCTCATTTCACTATTACTCATTTCACTATTACAGAAAAGAATAGGAAGTTTTGCTGCACTTCCAGTCTGAATTTGACTTCAGAGGTGATCTCTCCCTTTCCAGCCCTGCCCTGACAAGTGAACAATTAAGAATCTCAAAAAAGGTTTTGTTTAATTCTATAAGTAGGCTTATTTCTCCTCTGCTTTTTTCAGAGAACTTGGTATTGTGGCTTGAGGGTGAAGAGTCTAATTTTACCAGCCAGCAGAGTACCATATTACTGCACAGTTTTGCAGTAAGTTTTTAATCATTCAGCTGCTTTAAAGTGCTTAATTTATTTGTTCCTGTCCTTGGAAGTTCTCATTACAGCTTTTCGTGCTATTTATTTTGCATGAAGGTGAGTCTTCCACACAGGGAAATCAAGCCTCAAAATCAATAGCAAAATTCACCCATGATGAAGTCCTAAAGACATTCACTGAAGGAATTCACCTGAAAACTGTTGCCTGCTGTATCCCTTCTGAGCAAACACTTTCAACCTCAACACCCTTCTCTTTCTTGCTGCTTGAATGGTTTGTTACAGCAACAAGCAAGCAGTGTTTTGGATTTCTGATTAGTTGATTGCACTGATTGCATATAAAAATTTTTAATAATACTTACATATATTAATGAATACAAAAAGAGGAATCTGTGAAACTCAGTTATGTATTGACATTAAATTCAAGTATAGAAAAAGTGTGATTTTTGTAGCTTAAATTATGAATTGATACTTGTCATCAACTATCCTAACTCTTCAGTGAAATGAGATTCAATAGTTTTATACTTTTATACAAGATTAAAGTATCTTTTTCTTCTATTACTATCAATTTTTACTAAAAATCTTTGCTTTGAGCAGGGTACAGGGCAGAAAACATACTGCAGCTATCAAAGGAAATATGGTAAGTGATTACTTGTACTTTCTCTCTTGGGCAAGGTCCATGAATTTAAGGACTTTCTCATATTAAGCAGAATTAACAGCCTGGAAATGAAACAGAGAAAATTTCTATCTTTCCTTTCCACTTACCTTTGCCAGTTGTTCATGAATTTCTAATAAGCTTGGTCTGTTGAGCTTATTCCCACTGACGCTGCCAGTGTTTCTATAATAATCAATTTTTGGAACTGGATCCATTGTGTTATGGCCAAAAGTCTGTAGATAATACATTTTTGTGTGAGTATCATAGGGATGCAAACTAGCTTCTGTTTTCTCCCCATTTTGAAGGAAATTGTCATATAATTCTCTTTTTCCTGGTCTGTAGTTGATTGTCAGTCTGTTATGTGCTTCATCAGTAAAAGATGTTTCTTCATAATGTGGTGGGTCAGAGCCCACATCCTCTTGGGCTGTTTCATTGTTGTCATGGCTTTCATTAATTATGTTAACTTGAAACCGATTTGCATTTGGATCCAAGAATACATTTGGTGAATTATTCATTGACATCTTCAGGGATGACTTAGGTCACTGATTGGTTTACTCTTCTGTGGCTGGAGCAAGTTGCAGCTACAGCGAAGGTCTTAGTGCTGTTGCATACGAAATGCTTGCTCTTAGAGCAATAAAGTTTTGAGAATTTGTTCTTGAACTCTCTAAGCAGTCCTCCTAATGGTGTCTGCTGTGTTTCTGCCATAAAAAATAGAAATAAAATATTTATCTTAACTTGACGCCATAGATGAATTTTCCACCCTGCCTCACCAAATATCCATGAAATAAATGGTTGTCCTATGACTTGCTGAGTAATAAAATGGTTGAGTCAAAGGCTGAGTTTGTGGGGATGTTTCCAGCTGTGACAGATGCACTCAACCCCCCTAACCAAATGAGTGGTAGTTTGGTACAGGCTCCAACAGAGTTAAAGGCCTAAGCCATAAATGGGCTAAGACCTCCTCTAGTTTCAGTCTGTTCTTTGAACACCCACAAAAGAACATAGAGACACAGTGAGCATCAATGCATTTGAGCTTGAAACACTGATCATGCAATTAACACATGAACAGGGGGTGGCTTTTCCCAAGACTCATTTATCAAGGAACAAAGAAAACTGTGGGTACAAGGAGTCTCCTTCTCTAACACATGCAATTCAACTACAACCCAACCATTTTATTCCATAAATATGACAACTTAGGTGAGCCTTTTTTGACCTCTCTGGACTAAGGAGCCTGGCTGCATGGTGGTGATCTCCCCTCTCAAGGTTGCTCCTCGAGGCAGAGAGACCTTTTACCAGAGGCAGATCTCTGGTAAGTGGCCGATACCGTGTGTAACCTCGTAGTGTGGTAACTTCGGGCTTTGTCTTGGCACCTTTGATTTGTGCCTTGGCACCTGATTTTGTCTTGGTGACTTTGATTTGTGTCTTGGTAGTTTTTGAAGTTGTTCAAATGACTGTGTTGTACAGTAATAGAGTGAGCCTTGCCATCAAACGTTGTTAAGATGCACTTTTACAACATCATATTCAAACCACTTTTGCTAACACTTTAACAGTGATTCTGTAAGTGATTTAAATCACCAATTCATGCCAGTTGGCAGGATCCTAAATCAGGATTCATGACACCATCTATGTAAAATGGGCTTTGGATCAGATTCTAAAATTGATTTCTCAAATATAGTATTTCTTTTAATAACACGATATTTATTTGAAGCCAATGCAAGTGTAGGCAGTACAAGGGATGTGACATAAGATTCCATGAATTCTATTTACTGTCTATGCTCCCCTTAAGTATTATGATACCATGTGTATTTCTCTCATAATGTAGAACTAAATTTGCATTAAAAGCTTGAACCAAATTTATTTTTTTAAATTTACTACAAAAGCTAAACTGTAAGTTTTCAGTAGTTCCCGGGTGGCAACAATTTATGAGCAGGCATTTAGGATATAGCAAATAGTTCATATTTTAAATATAAATAAAATTAATATGGAGGAATAAATAGACAACTGAAACAGATACAGAAACAGCATTGGATTTTCTGAATTATAATGAAGGAAAAATATTACTATGGTAAAGTAGTAGTTATTTAGAAATATTAACAATAGTCCTAGGCATTGGAAGGTTCATAGAATTTTACACTCAGTTTTACACTTGTACACTCAAAACACCCTTTAAGATGATTTGAAAGAAACTGCAGCAAGTCAAAGAATCACGCAGGCTGGAAGGGATCTTGGGAATTATCTAGTCCAAACTCCCACTCCCAGCAGAGGGAACATTGCATGTACATCAGGTTACTTAGGACTTTCACCAGTCATCTCTTGAGATCCTTCAAGGACAGATTCCACAACCTGCCTTGTCAGCCTATTCTAATCATTGATTGTCCTCACAGTGGTTTTTGTTTGTTTTTTTCTGTCTGTCCAGCTGGAACCTTCCATAAGTCACTCTTATCACTATCCTCTCCCTTTTGCTATGCACCTCCATGACCTCCACATAAGTATTGGTGGGGCTGCTTAGGCTTCTCTAATGCCTTTTCTTCTAGTTAAATAAGACCTGTTTCCTTACAGGGCAAATGCTTATACCCTGACCTTCTTAGTGGCCCTCCATCAGACACACACAAGTTTATCAACATCTTTATTATGCAGGTTGGTGGAGGAGACAGGTAAACCAAAACTGTGTTCCAGGTGTAGTCTGATGAGTGCTGAATAGAGGGGAGTGACCGTGTTGCTTGATCTACTGGCTGTGGTCCTGTTAACACAGCCCAGGACACTGTTCACCTCCATTGCTCCTAGGGCACAGTGCTGACTTCTCTGTAGCCTGCTGCTCACCAGGTCCCTTCCAGAAGAGTTGCTCCCTGCCACGGAAGCCCCAGCCAGTGTGGTGCAGGGGCTTAGTCTGTCTGAGGTACAGGATTTGTATTCGTCCTTATTGAATGCCATGAGATTCCTGTTGGGCCATTCCTCTAGCCTGTCTTGGTCCCTCTGAGTGGCAGCCCATAGAGAGGTGACCATATGATAGCTGTACAATCTGCTTCCCACACAGACCCCCTCAAAAACACAACCGAACAAAAATCCCAAGAACGAAAGGAGTGCTTGTACTTCAGTGGTTTAAATACCTTTGCAACAACTTACAGGAAGTCCTAAATGCCCCTGAAATGAGCTATTGAAACACTGGCAATCCATATATCCTAAAAGATACTTCTAAGGAGATAAGGGAATGTGATTGTAAAGACCTGTATAATTTAGTAGGAGTCCAGGTCTGGTTTAAAAACAAAATATATCTATATAAAGGAATACACCAACTTAAAATCTGGCTAAACAAGTCCACTAGAGGCATTTTTAAAAGTTGTGTGCTTTCACAAGGGGTTGGACTAGATGACCTTCAGAGATTTTTTCCAATTTAAATTTCTCAATGATTTTAGAAATGCATTTGACCCTTTGGCACCGAAATATAAAATACTGCATAAATATTTATACCACAGCAATCTAAATTTTCTCTAAAATCACACATCAAAATGATAATTTGAAAAGCTAAAAATCAAAATAATTTTTGGTATGAGATAGAAGCTAAAGCAAATGTTCTCACTCCTTCCATCTGCCATAGATAATATTCTGCTGTGGCCTCTCTGCTATGATACTACTTTATAATCCACTCATATTTATGTTGGTTCTCCTCCTTAATGTTTTGTAAGCCCCACAGCAACACGTTACATTTATTTAGTTTATTTTACTTCTGCTGGGTTTGGACAATCAATATTACTATTATTACCACACATTTCAGTTCATAGCCTTTTAAAATTGTAAGGAAAACCAAATCTTTTGTCATTAAGGTCAGTGAAACTAATTTTGTTTCCATCTCCGTGACTGAATGAAATTCTGATTCTTTGATGACAATGAGACTTGCTACCAAGTAAAATGATTCTGTAATTTCACTGTCTTATTTCCATAATGTTACTATTTTGCTAGAAAAAGTCTCTTACCTTTCTGCTGCTCTTGAAAAGAATACTTTGATTTTCAGTGTATTTCCAGAGGTCTCTCAACTGTAATTTGCCATTAATTTTGTGTTTAATATTATAGAATTATGCATAAATAATCAAGTTTACCTTAGTTAGGATAATTTAACTTACCATTCAATCCTGTGTTTTTAGGGAAGGATGATCTCCCTCTTTTATTCATGCATTTAGTGCGTCCCTCTCTTTGAGGCGTTACAGACTCTGCCTTATTGGCCGGGTTTTCCTTCTGCATAATACCCTGAATAGACCATCCAATCCCTCTCTTTAAAAACATTTCCAGGTGATGATTTAGAGAGGCATTCTAAGCTTGTTAACTGTTAACCAGCAAATGTACCTATCCATTACCAGGTTTATGGTATTGCAAAATTTCCAAGGGGGCCTGAAAATACTTCTGTTATCTCTGTTTCCTTCCCAGCTGTGCCTGATTCTGTGCACAGCTCCTGATCCCTCTGTTTTTCAGTTCTGCATATTCAGTAATGGAGATAACGAGAGTTCAGGCTCCTGCTCTGCACGTTGTGTGTGGGACAGAACCCAGTGAAGTCAGCAGGATCAGGCACTGGTGGGTTCCCGTGTTGTACGTGCGTTTTTGAACTGTTTGCTCCTGAGCTCTTTCAAAGTTTTACTCTGTGTATTTTAAGGAAAATATTTGAAAAATTATGTTCTGTATATTGTTTCTGGGAAGGCCAACTCCCTTACCTTTTGGGGGTGCAGAGAAGGGTGGGCAGGAAATGATGAAGTTTTTTCATCTCAAGGGGATTTGATAATTACTTCCAGCAATACACTGGCTTAAGAACCAAAGTAGTAAGACAGTATTGGGGTTCTTTGGGAATGTTTGTGTTTGCTGTGTAGTTTAGAGATAACTGAACTACATTTAACCCAGATAACTTAAGTACATTCAGCACTCTAACCTGAGAGCACAGAGCTCAGCTGTGCTGATTAGGTGCAGTGGATGATCCTCTACAGCAATATCAGATCACATGAATCAGTGTGCTGATATTTGCCTTTGATTTTGTGGTTAAATCAGCTGGGATAAATGCAATGTACTGAATTTCTCTTGTGCAGAATCTGAAGCAGTTTAAAAGCTCTTACATTCACAAAATTGTTTGTTTTATAATTCATATGGACTAGTGTAGATAAGTGTTGGTTGTCTCTCTCTTATATTCTTCAGACAGGAGATTCATGTCCTTCCCTGTACAACCAAGTATTTCATGTTCCAAATGGCACTTGAAGTCTGCTGTTCCACTGGCTGCCTCTGCCTAGTATATAGGACAAAAGGGACAATATGTATTTTTCAGAATACATGCAGAAGAAACCAACTACTGTAACTGATCTCCTTGTCTTTGCTCCTTGTTGCAAGCAGAGCTGTTTAGCAAAAGTGTCAGTGCTTAAAATTCAGATGCCAGCCTTCTTAAAAATGGAATTGAATTTCTGTCAAGTCCTGTCACACTTGCTAAACAGCTATGGATATGAGGGTGACCTTGAACACATAGATTTGAGTCCCTGCTTTCACTGTTAATGTTTCTGCCTTGATAGGGTCTCCTATGACCAGTTCTTCAGCCTGACAGGCCCAAAGATATACCGTGCACAGGTGTAGGAGCACAAACAGAAGATCCAGCTGTGGAGAGGGGCTGGAGGGTACAGAAATCTCCAGTCAGCTCTGGACCCCGTCCTTTTTAGGGGATGGATACAAATGTATATGTAGCATGACTGCTTTGGCCTTGCCAAGCTAGTGTAATTACTGCTGGGAGCTGTTAAGCAGAGAGTTTGAACTGAATCATCTTCCATAACCAAGTGGAGTAAAAAATCAGCATGCCTTGACCAATTCTGTCACTGTAGGATTGGCTACTTAACATCTACTTTTTCACCAAAAATTTTTAACAACATATGGGAGATGCTGGTGGACTGGAGCTGTTCTAGTATTGGTTCAGACTGGAGTTCTGAGCAGGTAACGTATTTTGTATTGCTTAATGTTTATAGAATCAACATTTCCTTAATAATGTTTGCTTCCCCTCTACTAATTCTGTTTGACCTACTGTTGCTGTAGTGTAGGTGAAGTGAGACCTATTAAAAAAATACTCCCATATGAGTGTGAACTACACACTGTTTTCAGAGGACCACATCAAGTTTCACCCAGGAGAAGCAAAACCCACTTTCCTTAAAAACAGTCAGTAGAACAGCACCTGCTCTTCTTGGAAGGTGAGAGGTGAGTTAGTAATTGATGTGATCTTCAGCTTCCCCATTAGTTCCTTATTAATGATAGTGTGTGGACCAATCGTTGTTCCTCTCATCTAAGCAAGATAGACATACACCTCTTACAAGCACCTCCTCTCAGCCACAACTGTTTGTCTTCCAATTTGTATTCTTAGTAGACAGGCACAGTCTCTGAGCTTCAGAAAATTGGGTCAGGTGAGGATGAGGGCAGCTATCACTTAAGCATTCATCATTCATGAACCTGTCTTTTGTCCTTCACCTTTCTCCCCAGTCTGTCGTGAGACACCGTAGAGGTGAGATCCTTTGAAGGAGCAGCAAATATAATCTGATTCTGAAAATACTTTTTGGCCATGATAATTTTCTAGCGAATTGTTTATTGTAGCATTTATTTGCTGTTAATAATTTCTTATCTACCATTCCACTGTTTCCTCAAACATAAGCAACATGAAGTGCCTTTTGAGTTTGCAACAGATATTTATTTACCAAAATGGATGCCACCAATGTATCTCCAAAATGCAGGTACGTATAACAAATGTAACAACAGTTGGTTTCCAAAATGAAATCAACATCAAATTTAAGGCGGAATATTCTGAGTTTTCATGCAAGAGCATATTCAAATGTTCCTTTATCCAGCCCCTCAACTTCATCTTCCCATGTAGAAGAAGGCATACTACTGTAGGGGTCTAGCAAGATTTTGAAGCATCTGATAATTAGAAGTCCCAAGAAAATACACAAAATCCCCACAAAGGCAAAGCCAGTTTTTTGTTCTAAAGTCAGAGAGAAGGCAGACATTTCATTAACACTCATGCTGGCTGAAGTGTTGCTGCAGTAATTACTACTCATCATTGGGCATCACATCCTGGTGATTCTGTGAGATTTTCTTCTTGGTTGCTTCTTTGCCTGCATAGAAAAGTAGAATCGGTTTGGTTAGGTCTAAATGATGTGTGTGTATCTGAGCTGTAGCATATGAACACTTGGAAATGAAAACTAGCTTGGATTTTAGTAGTGCCCTGTTGTTTTTTCACATTTAAATTAATGTGATAAAATTGCAGCTATTAGTCTCTACACACTAGCCACTTAGTGGCCTCTGTTGTGAGACAGCAAACTCACCATTTTCTCTCTGTCTCCTAAAAACAGAGCAATTTCAGCACACGGCTGTTCCAAACACTGTTTTGCCAGCCTGGGCACCACCTGCTGATTCTGATTAGACAATACTCACCAAGGCCTCCACCTGGAGAAACTGGTAAGTTTCTGAAATGGCTTTACAGCTCAGTCCTTAAACTAGTTTAACTTGCATTGACATTGAAGGGAATTTCAGCCAAACAGCATGGATTCTGCTTATGTAATTTAGCTTATAAACCTAAAGAAATAGATCCAACTTGTAAAATATAACAATTGTCCATGCAATTTTAGTGAAGTGAATTTTAGTGGGCTCTATTTTCAGAAAAGTGCTGTGTGCATTTTGAGCTTGTAAGAAAGTAAACATATTGGTTTAACTTCCCCATCACCTTCCTCTGTACGTGTCCACTCGTGTATGAGGAAAGATTGGTGAGGGAAGAGATAAGACAATTACATTCCTCTACTCTAAACCTTGCTCTCATTTATTTCTTCTCCTTGGTTTTCCCCATTACATATATACATATCCTGCCATTTTTACAGACATTGTAAACACCAGGTCTGAACATGCTCCTTATGGAGCTCAGGGGACTGATCTTGAGGTGTGTCCTATGAAAGCAGGATGCTGGAGCATCTCCACCCCTCCATTGCCACCATAAAAGACAGTTTCCAGCCAGGAGAGACTTTTATTTTTGTCTTTTTAAGAAGATCTTATGTATAGATTTCAGTTGGGGGTGGGACTTTTTTTGCTTTATTTTAGGTTTTCCATCAGATATTGAAATCACCTATTTCTTTTGTCTCTACAGACAGCAGGAGAACTGGAAGGACTGGGACATCACAAGTCCCAAAGGACAAAGGCATTTTTATTCTAAGGCTGGAGCTTGAGGTTTTTTGGCTCTTGTTAACACCTATTTAACTAACACACCTCAGGGGAAAACTCTCTTTGTTACAATTCAACCGTCTTTCTCCCCAGGGAATTCCCAGGATCCATTTCTTTCTTGGCAGAGTAATTAGGCCAGTCGGAGCTCTGTGCTGCCATGGCTACACTGCTTCAGGTACCTGTGCTGCTTGTCATTTTAAAGGGCGCTCCAGCATCTCTAGCCTGTGCTGCAGTCAGGGCTGAAAGTGGCCGCGTCCCCAGTCAGCCTGCAACTAATAACAGTGCTAGAAGTAAAAATAAGATTTGGTATTTATGAGAAGACGGAAATTGAGAAAATTGTATCTTGTTTGATGTCTCCTTTCTTGCTACAGAATTAGTGAGATTGATGAATATGATCCTAGAGAATGTAAAATTTTTTTTAAAGGATTAAAAAGAAAAGGCACAAATCTTCTTTTTGCAATAACCCTCAACACAATAGGTATTAAATAATATGGTTTCCTATTGCAGTCTTTACACATTTGCCAGAGAGTAACAACCAAGGTTCTGTTCATTCTATAGAGATGTGTATGAGATCTTCCCTTGTTTTGAAAGTTATTCTGCTCTTTGGGTCATGCTGCTTTAATTCCTGTTAAATTAGAAAAGAGATCCAGATGGAGCTGGTGGGAATTAAAAGTAATGTCAACAACAATCTATTTTCTGAAAATATCATTGATAAAGCCCACCTACTGTATGGATTTTCATTGGGCATGCTTCCAATTTTTCTATTAGGTTTGATGTTGTGTAGGAAAAAAGAAATCATTGAAAGTTCAGTATCACAAATTTATGTCACAAATCCATTGATTTGAACAAGAGCCAGTCAAGGAAAAAAAAACCACCAACTTTCCAAAAGTCCTAGCACACTGGGTTGTAAAAATTATATTAAAGGCTTATGAGGGGAAGTGACACGTAGACACTACCTGGGAGAGTCAGACCAAACCCCCTGATTTCTATCTTGAAAGACGTGGAGAGAAATCTTAGGGATAAGCTGGTTATGGAGGGCCCTGCATTTGGGACGAGTCCAGAAAAATATGTGTTTGAGATGACGTTTCTTCACCATAGAGTCATAGTCCAAGACTATGAATTCCAGTCTTACTGATTTTGCAGGTTACACACTGAATTAGTGGGATTTGTTTGTACATTGTCAGGAGATGTTATGGATCAGATGTCTGTGCAAAGCCTGACTGACACTGAAACATGGAGTGGTTAGAAATGGCTATCTTGGACTTATTTGGCAAGAGTTTGAAACAACTGCATAATGTAACAGTGGGTATTTTGTTTGGGGGGAAATTAGTTCTGGGAAACTAATATGCAGCTTTGTGTTCTTCTCTTCCTTACCTTGAATTTCAGAAATTGTAATTGAAGCCTAAAAGTCCACAGAACATTCTGCTCTAATTATGTATCCCCAAAACTGTGGTACCAAGTCTGACCTTGAGTGCCTTTTTATTATTTTCACATTTTAATGCTGCATACAGGTTACATGTCCTCTCCCACTTAGTCAGATACCCTTTCATTTGCTGCAGTGTATGTGTCAAGTTATGAGTCAGAAGACTGTGATTACTAATATGGCCTGGATCCAAAAATCCTTGAAGATAACCTTTAGGGCAGTGTGATGGGGACAGGCATTATATCAGTTAGAATCTGCAGCCATTTCGTAGGGGCTGGCCTCAGACTGATCTCTCTTGACTTTTTTTTTATAGGTCAAGACTCTAATCATGTTTTGATTCATTGCCTGTATACACACCAGTGACATAGAAAACGGCTCCTTAACATCCTATTGTAAAATGAAAGGCTCTTGGAGACCCTTTTGAGGCCAGAAGAAACAATTGGAGTCCTAGAGAAAATAGGAATGTGGAAAATAGCTTAGCACATAGAGCACTGAGGTAAGGAGAATGGAGGTATAAGCTGGGGGTGCTGGCTGCACCTACAGAGGGTGAAGGGGAACACCATGGGCATGAAGTATTGTGAGGCAACTGGAAGAAAGATGTTTAAATTCTTATAATTCCTACAGCATCACTAGCCAAACTCTGCTAACATTAGATGTAGATTGAAGATCCCAGATCCTTGGAGCATTGGGTGTCCCTTTTTTCATGCCTAGTCTTTACCCTCATGTTTTCAGAGATATTGAGAAGAATGTAGCCAGTAAGTGTTAAATAAAGACTTTCTCAATAATCTTTCTTGTATTTCAGGTTTTGGTCCTTCCCTTACAGAACCTCCATAAGGTGTTTTATTGTAATGGCTCAGTGCTGGAAATGAGTACCTTTAACATCTGCTCAGGCTGGAAGTATTCATACTCTTGGCATGATTGAGCCTCAGGTGCCTAAAAAATCACTTCATAAATGATAGTGTGTAACAAAAATGATGGAATCAGTTGCCATCTGTTCTTCCCTTGGATGTCTGCAGCCTAGTTGCTGGTTCATGGATCTATCTGGTCATTCTCAAGGTACTTCAAATAGCTTCAGTCCCAGGCTTGTATTTAAGTGACAGCAAACCTGGCTAGAGGTGGTGTTGGTGTGGTTAGGGACACAAGCAGGCATCTCTGCGAGTTTAAGAAGCACCTCATTTGCACTTAACTGTCTGGTTGAGAAACTGAACTGTACTCCAAGAATGCTATTAATAGTAATTTGGCATAGGAGGTGGTAGGGTGAAAGGATTAGGCATAGAGAAGACCTAATGAAAATAAATCAGCATGAATTTGGAATTCTCCAAAGGGTCTGATCTATCTGAGCTAACAACACAGAGCCAGACATGATGCAAAACCTGCTGTGTGACCACACAGCCAACCTGTCATGCCCAGGTGCACACTGCATGCCTGTATCCTCTCAACTTCTGGGGAGGAGACTGTCTCTTCAGGGTAAGGTTTCTAAGATAACATACAGGGAGGTGTAGGGTAGGAAGGCCAGGGCATGGATGTCCAGCAAATGAAGGCATAGTGACCTGTTCTGCAAGGATAGCAAAGCCCCCCAGAAACATGCAGTGTTTTTGCAGCATAGTAACTCAGGGTGCAGGCAACGCTTCTCCACAGCAATGGCATTCCCCTGCAAAGGAGCAGCAGCCAGGCTGTGACATTTCCAGCCTACAAACAAGGAATGAATTGCAGAAATGAGACTTCATCCTTAGTAAATACACAAGCCTGGAGTCCCCATTGGATGAGAATTCACAGATGAATACTCTGTGCATTAGCTGTAAATTAATAGATGTGGTCTTGCTTTGGATAACACAGAGAGGCAGGGAAATAAAACGTTCACTGGCATAATCCTTAACTTGTGAACGTGGAAAAGCGTTGCCTGCTTCCCCGGGGATGGAGGCAGCCAGAGCCCGAGCACCTGCAAAGCAATTGTTGCTGCAGGATGGAACGCACAGCCCGCACTTCCCTCGCTTCCCTGGCCGGGCAGGTTATGTCCCCTCGCCGTGCCCCCCGCCCCACGGGCTGTTCCGTCCCGCCGGGAGGTGCCGCAAGGTCAGCCCCGCCGCCCGCCCGGCC